TATGGAGAAAGCCGAGTTAAAGAGCCCGTGGCTGGAAGCAAGGCGCTGGGTCTCTAGCTGGGGCTCGAGGGTGAAAGAACAAAGCAGAAACTGTCATCACCTTTTATTTTTCCGCTCCAGGTAGTAGCAGGAAAGGATGCTTTTAGGCAGCGTGATTGAAAGAGGTTGGAATAGCGCGTTTTGGGAAGCGCTCTGGCAAAACACGGGAGGACGGCAAACTTCTTGCCTCTCGCTTGAAATGGGAATCAGTCCAAGGAATTTGGCCTCGGGGTTGATGAGCCGTCAGCCCAAGGTACCGGTGCGGGTGGGGAGAAAAGGAAAAAAGTCAAAACTGGCTCTATTCAGTCTTGGGTTTATTTTATTTTATTTTTTTTTCCTTCGATTTGAGGGAGGAGGGTGGAAGTTACCTGAAGCGGACGGCTCCTGCAGCATCCGCGAAGCCTCTGAGTTGTGCAGTTACAGCACAAGAGGAAACCGAGCAGCAGCAGTGTTTGCTGTAGCATCCTTTGAGCCGGTTTCTTTAACGCTGCTTTCTCCTTACTCTGTGACTCAACTCTTTTGTCTTAAAGTGGTGCATATTCGAAAATACCGTTACTCTATTATGCCATAAACTTGCTCTAGTCAGTGAATGTTCCTAATGCTGCTGATTCAACATTTAAATATTTTTTTAATTTGCAAAACATGCAATGATTAAAAAAAAACAAAAACAAAACAAAAAATACACACACGCACGCACGCACGCACACACACACACACACGTTACGTGGCTTCCGAGGTTTAAACTGAAAAAAAAAAAAAAATTAAGAACTTCATGACCACAGACCACCTCAAACCAGAAATACCTCAGAATTTTCTACTTGTATGAGTTTTATTATATATTTTGTTAGTTGTGTTGTCTTGTAGTAAGTATATTTTAATGTAAGTTGGCTTTTATGACAAGGGAGTTTTAAAAAAAGAAAAAAAAGAAAAAAAGTTCCAAATCTTTTAGGAAGTGCTACCATTTTTTCTTTTGTTTTATAAAATACCATTGTAAATAACTGTATACAGTTGTAGAATAACTGCCTGTATAAGGTACCTGGGCATTATTCACTCTTATTTGTGAAGGCTGTTTCCATTCTGTGTGTTTTTTTTTTTTTGGTCTGTTTTAGTGAAAGGACAGTACATCTTTTTATTTCTTTTTTTTAATTTTTTTTTTTAATTTTTGGGCTTTGAATATAACATGAATTCTGTGTCTTGGTAGACTAAAGAAGTTACGCCCATTGGATTGCCAGAACTTCTGAATTCTTCTTTGCATTAAGCTAAAATGCAGTCCTGAACTAATCATCCTATAAGAAAAATGTTAAAAGTCTGTGTTATATAATCAAATCGGACTCCTTGTCACTGCCAAATTGTCAGTGCGGGCCCTTGCACAGATGTAATTTATTAAGCAAACAAAATTACAAATCAGAGAAAAGATTGAAAAATTGAAATATATCTCTCGAAAAGTATAGCTTTAAAACCTAGAGTTCGCAAATGAGGACCTGGTCCTTTATCTTGAAGAGACGTTAAGATAATTGCCTTAATTTGTCTATCTGAATAAAGTCTTAAACTATTCTTTCACGTTATATTGAATGTATATTGCATATTAGTGTGTACACACATGTAATTGTGATTCTGTGTGTAGGTTTGGAAGTTTCTTTTCCTTAATGTGATTCTGTTCAGAAAACCTTGTCAAAAACCAGACAAAACCGTACCGTTCTGACACAGCGGATGTCCCTGACAGGGGTTGACATCGTCGGTTCTGATGCTGCAACATCCCTATGCTTAACATTAAACATGCAGGTAGCTCTTTGGATGTCATGACACTAGTCGCTGGCTTAATATTAAGCATAGTCGTAAATGTTAGCAGGATCACTATTTTTCGTTGATCTTCTAATACGTTTCTGCACTGAGATTTATATAAAAATGTGACTATGTTTTGGAAGTGAAGTGATGTAAGCGTTGGGGTGGAGTCTAGAGCAGAATTAAGACTGAATGAATACTTGTTTCTAGGTGTGTTTGCTCCCGTTTCCCGGAAATGGGAGCCGGTTCGTATTGCTGCAGAAAGAAAAAAAAGCTGTACTGTCTTTGAACTGTCGTTATCCGTTTGCTCTTCTGGATTTTTTTTTCCTTCAGCATTATATATAATGGCTAAAACAGGCTTATTACAGCAGTTGCTTTTTTATCCTGATTTCTTTAAGAAGCTTTAAAGTATTTATTGAAAGTGCCATATGATTTTAATAGCCTATTGGGCAGTCTCTTAAATCTTCTCTTTCGAGAAAGCATAAACAAAAATTCGCACATGTAGCTTATCTTGCTGCGGGGAACTGTAAGAACCTACAAGCTTTGACCAAAAGTTGATTGTAAAGTACGACCATCTTCCCTGGTGTAATGGTTCCTTATAGATCATCTTGTCAGCATGTTTTAGAAACCGATTTTTAAAAATTTCCAAAATGCTGTGTGCTCAGTTACAAAATTGAAATGTATCTTGGTGCATGTATCTTGCTATCGCAGTAGAGAATGAAATCCTGAACTCAAGTCTATTTAAAAATTTGTACCAGTTTAATTAAAACTGTGGTTTTTTTATTTAAACTGGTATTTATTTTATTAACGCAGACAAGCTCTGATGAACTTACTGGTCTTTAGACACTTGAGCTGTCAAGCACGTTGTTTCCTCACCGCTAATGTAGCATTTCTCATTGACAACACCGCTTTGGTTTTGTTCAGCATTGTAGCGGCTTTTTCCAAGTCGGCAATAAGGCCCATCCGCGGGTGTAGCTGTAATGAGCGATTTTGACTCTTTTTCCTCTTAACACTCCCTTGAATATGATGGGCACAACATACGTTGCGTTACTTCCTAAGCACTAAATTCCGCTTCACGTTCAGACTCGGAGGAAGTAGCTCGTCAAAAACTTCGTGGCGGGATTTTCTTGTTGGCCTTCCTCTCTTATATGGCAGGTCTTCGGTATACGTTAGTCTTGAGTATCCAGGGTGGCTCTGTGAAGGGTTAAAATTCTCCCTGACTTCAGGAGCCAGGATTTGCCGCTCTCTGGTGTCACTCCCTTGATGCACTGGCTGGGTTGGTTTCCCAGGTGTAGGAAGTTTGAGCTCACGTTTTAAGACTGGAAATACCGCAGGAGCTAAAATGGCTTTTGTGAGGCCATTGCACGTTGTTTTCTGCCTCCTATTGTGTAGTTGAAATTCCGTTAGCGCTAGATAAAAGTTACACCTGTGGGAATGCCAAGGTCTTTGTGTGTATGTTTCCTTCAAAGAGAAGGTACATGAGTGCCCACCAGTAGCTCGACTGCAGTTGCTTGGGTCTGCTGAGTCAATCCTGTTTCCGCTGGCGTTGCTCTTTTCAGTGGAAGCGGTTTTGGGTCCGTTCAGTGCAGAGTTGCTGGTGGGGATTTCCAAGTTGGTAGGGTCAGGCCTTTGCCGTTAGGAATATTGATCCCCCTGAAGATCTCAGCATAGAAACCGAAGAACTCACGTTTAGTTCCTCTTGTGCTAGTTTTGAGGCAGACTGTCAGAACTTAGCCTGTTTTGCAGGACGGAGAAGGGTCTGCGTTTCGCTTAGTGTGGAAGAAACTCGTATTGCAGAGGAAGGTGCTGGTTGATAACGTTGCGACAGTGCTGCTGTTGCAGCCACACTCCGCTTGAGAAGTCGCTAAGCAGGAAGCGTCCCGCTAACTATATCACTTTTACATACAGAATATTGTTTGGTAACATTGTAAATAAAAATAGACTATATAATAGAGGAAAATAAGGACATTTGACTTTTTTACTTTTGGAAGAATATATATATATTTTAGTTACATATACAAACAGAAATTCTACATTGTGTGAGAATTCTTTTATACCACAAATTATTTTTGTAATGTCTAATATGTTTCTGCAGGGAAAAGGGAGAAAGGTCTGTGTACGCACAGCAAAAA